GAGGCGGATGAGCTCGACCAGCACGCATCCTGAAGGTGTCGCAGGCGTCCCACCACACCGCCTGGGATCTCAGTCGAGGCTTAATATTGGCTCGGCTTCTCTGCCAAAGTGCCAAGGCTTAATACTGGCTCGGCACCGCTGGCATACCTGGTATGCTGACCAGGCGACGCGCCGCGCACCAGAGGGGCCGCGCCGCCTCCGCGCGCGCCCCCCCGCCCCCCCGCGGCCGACAGGGGTGCCCCAAGTGGGGAGGGAACGGCGGGTGAGAAACGGCCAAGGACCCCGGGCCAGGGGGGGATACCCGACAGCGGGGGGCATCCCGACCCTCTCCAACCCCACGGGTGCACCCACCCCAGGGGGAGGGCCCCCGCGACCGCCGGGTGCGCCGCCCCCAGAACTCTCCGGCAAGTCCCCGGCTCTGTTTCTATCCCGCCGATGCAGGCGGCAGTCGACCGCTGCGGGTTCCCCGACCGCCCCGGCGCGCTCGCCAGGCCCCCGGCTCATGCGGCGCGTGGGGGGTGGGGGCGGGGGGCGGAGGAGGAGGGGGAGGAGGAGGAGGAGGAGGAGGAGGAGGAGGAGGAGGAGGAGGAGGAGGAGGAGGAGGAGGAGGAGGAGGAGGAGGAGGAGGAGGAGGAGGGGGGGGGGAGGAGGAGGAGGAGGGGGGGGGTAGAGAGGGGAGCCACGAGCAGATATGGAAGAAGAGGACGGCGAGGTCGCGATGGGAGGGTGAGAGAGAGAGAGAGAGAGAGAGAGAGAGAGAAAGAGAGATAGAGAGAGAGAGAGAGAGAGAAAAAAGAGAGAGAGAGAGAGAGAGAGAGAGAAACACACATAGAGAAACGATCAAAAAAAAAGAGAGGGAGGACGAGAGAGCCAGAGAGAGAGGAAGGGATAGAGAGAGAGAGAGAGAGAAAAAAAAAAACAAAAAGTCAACGAAAGAAAGAGAGAGAGAGAGAGAGAAACACAAGAGAGAGAGAGAGGGAGCTAGGAACAAAAAAGAAAAATAACGAAGGAGAGAGAAATATAGGGGTAGAGATAGAAAAGCAAAAAAGACAACGACGCAACACACAAGCAACAGGGGCGCACTCGCCCCCTTCAGTGCACGAGGCGAGCGATTGTGAGCAGGTCCGCTCAAAACAAAACATCACGTCGAAGGATCCGCGCGAATTCGAGACAGCCGTGCAGGTGGCAGCGCCTCACGGGGGCCGCGATGTTCAGTTTGGACACGCGTGACGCACCGCTCCGCTTGACCCCCCAGGGGCCCGCGAAAGTGGCGACGCTTTTTCATTGCGCACTCCCCAGAGGGGGTGGGCTCGGGGGCGAGCCGAATTCCAGCGGTCACGGCCCCGATGGATTGCCAGGTCGCGTTCTGGTCCGTCTGCGACAGCACTCGACTGGACCTCCCAGGCGCCTACGAAAACGTCGACAATTGCGCAGTTCGCGCCCCCCCTGGGGCGAAACCTCATTTGTTGCGCGCGAAACAACACTGCGTTGGACCCGTCAGCAACCAACGAATCTCGCGACACACGCGAAGTTCGCGGCCCCAAGAGCAAGCGAGGTTTCAGTCTGATTCGCGTGAGTCACCATTCCGCTGGACCTCCCAGTAACCCACGAAAGCAACAATCGCTGCGCGTCTGGGGCCCCAGTGGAAGGCGACGTTTCGTTTTGATATGCGTATGGCACCACCCAACTGGACCTCCCAGACCCACGGAAGCGGCAACCTTTGCGCATTTTGCAGCCCCGAAGGAGGAGGAGCTTGATTTCTGATTTGTTGCGTATGCCACCAATCTGCTGGACCTACCAGGGCCCGCGAAGTCGGTGACAATTGCGCAATTCGCAGCCGCGAGGGAAGGCGAGGTCTCTACCTGTTCTGCGTGGGACCAACAATTGGACCGCCCAAGCAACCGCGATATCGTCGACCGTTGCGCATGTCGAAGCCCCAAAGGATCGCGAGGTCTTGCTCTGATATGTGTGAGACAGCACTCCGCTGGCCCTCCCAGGCGGCCACGAAAGCGGCGACAGTTGTACAACTCCCAGACCCAAGGGTGGCCGACATGCGCATCGCGCGGCTGGACCTCTCAGGAGTCCACGAATCTGGAGACCGCTGCGCAGCTCGCAGCTCCGAGGGAGGGCGAGGTGTCGTCTTGACTTGCGCACGGCGCCACTCCGATGCACCTCCGAGAAATCCACGAACAGTGCGACCGTCGCGCAGTTCGCATCTCCGAGGCAGGGCAAGGACTCGTTCCAATCTGCGTATGCCACCTCCCCGCTTCACCTCCCAGGAAGCCACGCCAGCGGCAACAGTTGCGCAGCTCGCAGCCCCGAGGCAACGCGAGGTCTCGTTCTGACCAACGTAAGACATCATTCCGCGGGACCTAGGGGCCCACGAAAGCGGCGACCGTTGCGCAGTTTCCAACCCGGGGGGAGCGCGGCAACAGATGCGCAAGTCGTAGCCCGGGCGAGGTCTCGTTCGGATCTGCGTATGACATCGCCCCGCTGGACTTTTCAAGCGCCCGCGACAGTGGCGACGATTGAGCGGTTCGCGGCCCCGAGAGAGGGCGCAGTTTTGCTTGTTCCACGGGTACAACCACGCCGACGGATTTCCCAACAGAACGGACAACAAAGGGGCGACGGTTGCTCCATTCGCAGCCCCAAGGAGGGGGTTAGGTCGCGGTCTGATCTAGACGCCACCCCGTTTATTTTTGCAGAGGCCAGCGACAATTGTGTTTCACAGTTCGCCGAGGGAGGGCGAGGTTTCGCGCTTCTGTGGGTATCACAACCCGCGAGGGGCCCACGGAAGCGGCGACGTATGTACAGTTCGCAGTCACAAGGGACGGCGAAGTTTCGTTTGATCGGCGCATGACGGCACTTTGCTGAACTTCCATAAGGGGGAGCAAGGTCTCGTTCTGATCAGCGTATGACCCGTCTCCGTTGGACCCCCCAAGATGCAGGAGGAAGTTGGGGGCAGGAGGAGGAGGAGGAGGAGGAGGAGGAGGAGGAGGAAAAGGCGTTGGAAGAGAGGAACAGACGAGCAGGAGGAGGGGGAACGAGAGAAAGAGGACGGACTGGAAACCACGGTGAGTGAGTCGTTTGCAACGATATCCCAGCGCAGGAGGAGTCGGCTCAATAACAAGGGAGCGCGAAAGGATAGAAAAAGAGAGAGAGAGAGAGAGAAAACTAACACCAAGCTGAGAGACAGAACGACAGACAGAACGATTGAGATAAAGACAGGGGGAGACCTCTCCCGCGCGGGGGCCCCGCGAGGCGGCTGACGCACGGAGTGGGCGATCGCGGCGGTGTCCCGTTTCCCTGGCGGGTTGCCGCCGCAAGCGGGCGCGAGAGAGTTTGCCGCCCCCCGCCCGGGTGTCGAGAAAAACTTCCTTGATGGGCACGCCCCCCTTTGGCCGCAGGCCCTGAGCCCTCGGCCGACGCGCCTGGCCCGGGTGGGCTCTGTTGACGTTGGTCGGACGCTGGGTTCGCTGAGCAACGCAGGGGGGCCAGAAAACGGATGGGCAGGCGGAGGGCGAGAGGGAGGAGGCGGAGGAGGAGGAAAAAGAGGCGAGGAGGAAAAGGAGGAGGAGGACGACGACGACGACGAGGAGAAGGAGGACGAGGAGGCTGGGGCGGATTATGGAGAGGAGGAGGAGGGGGAGGAGGAGGAGGGGGAGGAAGAGGAAGAGGAAGAGGAGGAGGAGGAGGAGGAGGAGGAGGAGGAGGAGGAGGAAGGGGAGGAGGGGGAGGAGGAAGGGGAGGGCCCAAGTAAACCCAACACGCGCTATCGATATTCTGGTGCACCCGGCCGCCCCGCGTCCCGTCCCCCCCCTTTCGAACGTCCATGCGGGCGTCCGCGTCACTGCCAGACGCGACCTTGCAAAACATCAGCGACATATCTGGGCTTGCATCCTTTTGGTGAAGACCCTGGCTTGACAAGGGATTGCGTTGCTCAGGAGGGAAAACAACACACAGACACAATTAATCGTCGATTTCCCAGAAAATATGGGAAAATATGGGAAGTGGTGGGGAAGACAAAAAACCCAGAAAATATAGGAAAATATGGGGAATAGTTTTATTTGTGTGTATTTATTAGTGTGTCCCAGTTTCCCTTCAGTTGCATCTTTGTGGAACATGGTCAAGAGCGCGCAAACTATGACCATGCTGTTGCACGGGGCGCCCAACCATATATTGTTTTTTCAGAAAGGACTGCCCCCTACCCGCGTCCCCGTTCAACCGGCGCGCAGGTAGTCGTTTTCGGTTTTCGGGGATGGGTTTCGCAAGAACCCCATGCGGGACTTTGTCAACTTCCAGGGCCGCCGCAAAACGCCCGGATTCAAAAGTGGTTCACGGAAGCGGTCCAAATCGTGCGGGGGGGTACGTCTGGCGAAAAACAGTGCGACGTCGGACAGGAAGGGGCAGTGCCGACTGCGACTCCTGTTTCGCGCAAGTGGTTTTCAGCCCCGCCGCCGTCCATTTCCCCAGGGATAGTTGGCATTCTCCGTTTTCCGGGGCGGGAGGGAAAAGGGCCATTCTGGCCCATCCCACACCGGAAAAGAGTCAAAGGTTTGCAGGAAGAGGGCTTGACCATATCTGGAGCCCGTGGCCCCTCAGTTTCGATGTCCCGCTGTTCCGCCGCACGTGTTCCACGAAGGCCGAGGAACATAAAACACCATGAGGCCACGAAGTTGTGGGAACACCTCGTTGCTTTTTGTGGTCCATGTCGAGTGCTTATCGCGTGTTGGTTTTTTAACATCAGCGGTTTCGTTGTGAAGCGATTGGGGGTCGATCCGGTCACTGTTGGATGGTCCTACAGCAATACTGTGACAGTGCACTGGGATATTACGAGAGATGCACGGAGGATGGGGGGTCAACGGGATGCGGGGGGGGATCGGGGACAAGGAGAGAGGGGTAAAAACAAAGGGAGAGGGGGATACGGTGAGGGGGAGAAGGAAAAAGAAAGGAAGAGGCACAGGCAGAGTGGCACGGGTGATCGGCCGAACAAACGGGAGGATCTGCACCATCGCGGACGTCCTCATGCGCTTGTCGTGGGTGTTGACGTTGATGCCGTTGTCAATCATCAGCTCGGTGGGAGGGGGACGGAGGGGTCTGATATACTACAGGGAGCACTTGCTCAAGCCTCGTTGATGAATGGGGATGGGGATGAAGGGAGAAACGAGGAGAAAGGAGCACGGGCCAGAGAGAGGAGAGGGGGGCGGGAACATGGAAAATGGAAACATATTGCAATGGCCCCGAAAGACTCTTGACAGATCCTGGGGACGTCGCCGCCTTGTCGTGGCCGCAATAGATCTCTCTGGAAGGGGCAGGCCAGGAGACAGCAGTGGCTGAGCTGCTTACCGCGGCTGCGTGAGGCCAACGGCGAACCCCCCAAGATGCCACGTTGGCGGCCTTGGGGGCACGAGGGTCCGGCTTTGCTTTGCCAGAGAGGCCCAGGACCCGCTCTTGGGACCATCCGGGTGGCTTCGAGGGCCGTCTTCGGGTCGGCTCGAGGTTCGCCTTGGACCGCCTCGGAGTTGCCCCGCGCTGCCCTGGGGCCTCAAGCTGAACATTAAGCGTGAGCCTCCTAACCCAGACCCCCTCGGGTCGTGAAAAAGGCATGGCGGGATGTTTTTCTGTATTTTCGCATTCGGGGGCCCTTTCGCAGGCTTTGGGAGTGGCAACAAAAACATTCGGGATGATAAACGGGTCCCAGGAAGGAGTCGAGACTTTTGGGGGCCGACGTTATGAAAACCATGACGATGGGGCTCTGGGAACTGGAGGGAGGTGGCCAACAAAACCCAACAACCCCCGCAGCCTCGCTTCCACGCAGAAGCGCAGTCTGTGCAGGAATGCCTGGGCATCGAGCGTGAGCCCCCAAGGGGGGATGGCCTGACACCCCACGCAGTCGCGCACGGGCCTGGGGGGCTGCGCTGGGCTCGGAGGGATCAGGCCAAGGCAGGCGCAGTAAGATGTTTGCGCGATCTGCACCTGGCGCCGCCAGGGTGCCCTGGCCTGGCTCTAATTCAGGCAAGCCTACCCCCCGCCACTGTAAGGGGCCCCCGCGACTCGCGAGGATTGAAAGGGGGACGAATCGGGTGGAAACAGAGACTGACAGCAGTTGGAGGCAGTTTTCCTGTCCTTTAGCGACAACCAGCGCGACCAGTGGGGATAGGGGGGTAGAGGGGCCGGTCACGTCCCGATTCGCACCGTCGCCGTCTCTGAATGTTTAGACGTGGCTCATTCCGAGACGGCGCCGGAGAGAATTGTGACGTGACCAGTCGGGAGACTCGAAACGGGGGTCGATGCAAACGGGGTTCAGCCACGGCACTGGATCCTGCAGGATCCTGCGAAGACCCCCTCTGGCTGACCCGGGTTAGCGAGCCGCTCGTGGCCGCGAGGCGGCCGCGCCTATTGGCTGACCCGGGTTTGCGAAGACCTGCGCTGCAGTTTTTGTTTTTTGCATTGCAGTTTTTGGTTTCCTGCTGACCCGGGTCTGGATTGACCCGGGTCAGAAGAACCCCGGACCAGGGGTTTGGTAGGGGGGGCGGGACCAGTCACGGGTGTTCTCGCGAACAATTACATTGTCCTTCCTTCATTTGGAACGGGACGCACTGATGGTGTCACGGCGGACGCTGCCCATTTGGGACAAACGTCACCAAAGCGGCCTCTGTTGGTGTCTGGCAGCGCTCGCAGTTGGGAATCGTCCCCACCTGTTCCGTTCTGTCCCCGTGTCGGGCGCGCCAAACGACGTTGCGGGTCCTCTAGACCCTACCATTCCTTTCGCCAGAAGGAGGAGGAGATACAGATGAACGCTACCAGAACTGCTCGCCTCGAGGCAGCCAGCATGCGCGCGACTCGAAGGATCCGCGTGAGAGCGACGACCCCCGCACCCCGATGCGTTTCAAATTGTTGGCGTTCCCGGGCGCTTGCTGGATGTCTCTTCCAAGCGACAGTCTGGCGGCCGGGGTGCCTATTGTGGTGGAGCCCAGGCTGGCCGAATGTGTGATTGCGCAGTGGTCTGCCCGGATCTGGCACATGTCACCCAGACGTCAAGGTTTGAATTCCGAATGTTGTCCTCAGCTATTTTCTGCCCTCCTCCCTCCTGAGTCTCCTGCTCTTCCTTCTGTGTCAGACGACACATAATGAGTCCTCTTCCCATCAGGTTGGAAGCCTGTCCTTCTCTGGCGGAGAGGATCTGGCGTGTCGCAGAACTCGTACATTTGCACATGCCACATGCATGCACACCTTTCCGCGGCAAGTCATGCGAAACAAAGTCTCTGCGATCGTTCGGTGCGCGGCGCGTCGTGCCCGTAGTAGTTGTGCCAATGCACTTTTTGTGGGTATAGAGCGCGATTATGGAAGTTTTCCGTGCGGCTGGCACGAGGGTTCAAGCACCCCTTTTGGCATCGGAAGGGTACCCTTGTTCGGGGGCGGCCGAGAGGGGGTGCTGACTGAGGGGTGGGAAATCATTGCCGGGGCCAGAACCTCCCCGGATTTCATGGCCTCCATAGGCCCCGCGCGCATGCCTCGGGGGCCATCCTTTGCGAGCCCCCCTCGTGGACGCCCCCCTCCTGGACCCCCCCCGACTTGTGCGCGCCCTTGGACCCCCCCACACCCTGCGATGCACGTCGCTCTCGGTAACTCGACGGGGAGCGATCGGCCATCGGCGAGCGGGCTCGTGCGCGAGCGGGCTCGGGCTCTCGGAGTCCGCGTTCGCGTGGCCACGGCAGCCGGCGCCGCTCCGGCCGGCGCGCTCGCCGCCGTGCGTGCGGCGCGGCTGCGTGCAGCGCGGCACGCGTCGCCTTGCAGGTGCTGCGAGCAGGACGACGTGCGGAGAACGACGTGTTACACCGATGCCGCCGCCCCCGCCTCGTTCTCTCGAACTTGTGGGCTTCCTGGGAGGCCCTCGTCGTCACCGCTGGACTCGCCCCCGAATGCTGGTCAGAACGCACCCCAGCGTCAAGCAGTGGCGAAGCGTCCTGGCTCGCCTATAGCCCTGCCAAACAATGTTCTAAGAACCTTGTGGTTTCCACTAAATGTTCTTAGAACATTTCTGGCGGAGTCTGTCCTGGTTTAATTCATCGGGTTTATGTTCTAAGAGCAGTGTTGTTGTTCTTAGATAATTTTTGGGTTCTAAGAAAATTTCGTGGTATGACTATAGGAATGCCGGGACGGTCGGTCCCTGCTCAACAGCGGAGGTCCCGAGAGCAGCGGTGTCGGCATCTTTTGGTTTCCCCGAGCGTGTTGCGCTGCACGCAGCCGCGCCACGCGCGCGGCCGCATGCGCAGGGAGGGGGCGGCGGCGGCTGCCGTGCTCTTGCAGCCGCTCGCCCACGCTGTGCTCCTCTGGCCCAGGTTTCAAGCAGCGGCGAAGCGTCCTGGCTCGCCTATAGCCCAACCAAAAACAATGTTCTCAGAACCTTTTTGAGGTGTCCACGACATGTTCTTGGAACATTTCTGGCGGAGTGTGTCCTGTTTTAACTCATCGGGTTTATGTGCAAAGAACAGCGTTTTTGTTCTTAGAACATCTGTTGGGTTCTAAGAGCATTTCGTGGTAGGACTATAGGAATGCAGGGACGGTCGGTCCCTGCTCAAAGGTTGTGCCCTCTAGTCGCCCGTCGGGGACACAAACGGGGTTCAGCCAGAACTCAGGAAGGAAAAGAGACCACACAGACACAATGAGAATCGTCGACTCCCAGGAAGGTGTGCGAAACTGTGGGAGGTGGGGGGGAAGGCAAGAACCCAGACGATATGGGAAAAGATTGGGACTCCTGTTGTTTGTGTCCATTTGTTTGTGTGTCCCAGGGCGCCTTCGAACGCCGGATCTGAGCTGTGGCAGTACAGGTTGGTGGAGCCAGGCTTGGGAAGCCCCACAGAAATGCGCGCCCCTGTTGTCCAAGCTGGTCGAGTTGGGCTCGCGCGGCGCCCGGATCCTCCGCGCCCGAGCTCGGCCCCGCGGCCAGGGTGGGAGGACATCGTGCAGCGCGAGGTGCTCCGCACGTGCGTCTCGGCGGTGGAGATCGTCCGCCGCAGCATGTGGAGGGGGCAGGGCATGGGTCGGGCGCAGAGAACTACGCACCTGCACCGATCCTCACAGCGCCCACCCTCGACCCAGGATCGGTGCACATACCCTCCCGGCCAGGGTAAGAGGGCGTATGCACCGATCCCGGGCTCAGGATGGGCCCGGCCAGACTCGGTGTATGTGCATCGTTTTGTTTCCTCTGCGGGGGGCTGCTCAGGAGGGAACCTCTGGAACCTTCCTCCTCCTCCTCCGCCTCCGCCTCCTCCTCCGCCTCCGCCTCCGCCTCCGCCTCCTTCTCCGCCTCCTCCTCCTCCTCCACCTCCGCCTTTCCTCCTCCTCCTCCTCCTCCTCCTCCGCCTTTCCTCCTCCTCCTCCTCCTCCTCCTCATCCTTCTCCTCCTCCTCCTCCCTCTCCTCCTCCCCCTCCTCCTCCGCCTTCTCCTCCTCCGCCTTTCCTCCTCCTCCGCCTTTCCTCCTCCTCCTCCTCCTCCTCCTCCTCCTCCTCCTCCTCTCTCGCTCCCCTCCGCCGCTGCCGCGCCGCGCTGCTGCCTCGGGCCTGGCATCGCTCGGACGTGTGCATTTTTTCTCGGCGAGAACCACCGAGGACCATCCTGGAGCATCGAGGAAACAAAACTCGTTTGATCTGCAGGGCGAGAGCGAACCCCTTCCGCTTAGAGGAAACAAAAACACGCACGAAGCCGAACACTGCACGGGAAATGGACGTCCGAGCGGCGGCAAGTGGGTGGTGCCCGGCGCAGCCCCGCCGCAGCCCCGGCGCTGCCCCCGCGCGGCGCTGTCCCGGCGCTGCCCCGGCGCCTGTGGGTCCCGCTGGCCCTGCGCCGCCCCTCGCGAAGGGGCCCCTCGCAGGCGATGCCTCGCGAAGGGGTCCCCTCGCGAGGGGGTCCCCTCGCGAAGGGGCCCCCTCGCGAAGGGGTCCCCTCGCGAAGGGGCCCCCTCGCGAAGGGGTCCCCTCGCGAAGGGGCCCCCTCGCGAAGGGGTCCCCTCGCGAAGGGGCCCCTCGAAGGGGTCCCGATGCTTCCACGAAAGATCAGGCCGCTCAGAAGGGGAGCTCGGGGATAGACAGACCCCCAGGGAGCGATTGGGATGTACCTCGCTTGAGGATGGACGCCCCCCCATCGCATGTCCTCCTCCTCCTCCGCCTTTCCTCCTCCTCCTCCTCCTCCTCCTCCTCCTCCTCCTCCTCCTCCTCCCCCTCCTCCTCCTCACATGATTTGCCCCGTCGGAAGCCCCCACGAGGTCTGGGATGGGGGTCGACACATGCCCTGTTTGTCCAGACCTCTGATTGGCGGCGAGCCCAGGAGGGGAAGTGAAGAGGAGGAGGCCTTCTCAGAAAGCGGCGGGGCTTCTCGGAAGCCCTCAGGCCCTTGAGGAAGTGTTCTGCGTCTTCGGTGATGGCCCAGAAGACGAGGCCCCCCGAGCCTTCCGAGAAGGCCAGTACCCTTTCACTTTCCCTCAGGCTGGCCGCCGATTCACGAGCTGACAACTCTATGCGACACCCAGATCTGATGTATCGGCATCGGGGTGGAATTCCAGGGGGGGCGATGGGTGCATGATGGAGCTCCCCGCTCGAGCGGGAGCTCCCTTAGGGGTCCGACAACTCGCACCCGTGCATATCGCGCCGTCGTCACCGTGCCCTTCTCCATTCCTCCTCCCTGTATCCTAGCTTCGACGTCGATTCTCGATCTGGTCCGATGCGGCACGATTCTCGACCCAGTCTCGATTCTAGACCGCCTGCAGCCATTTCGGCTCTCACCTCATTGACTTTGCCAACGCCGCGGGACAGCCTGCAGGGTGGGCGCGCCCCCGCACTTCCCCGCACTCTCCTCCCCGTTCGTGAGGCCGCTGAGGCGAGACTGAGGAGGACGAAAGGGAAGGAGGATCAGGTTCAAGGTTTTCGAGTGCGAGGTTCGAGGTTTTCGCACTGGCGTCGACGTGTGCGGGCGTTCTCGACGGTTCTCGGCGGCGTCCCAGCTTGAGGGTGCCTTGCAGCAGCTGGGCGTGCCCGCATCGTCCCGGGCGGCCGCCGGAGAGCGAAGTTGTGGCCCGACAGCCAAGGGGCAATGCTGGGGGGGGACTGGCTCAGCGGGGATGCAGCGGTCCCCGGTGCCGCCCACGCATCGCCGACACGGGGGCCCGGTCGAGGGAGCGTGCGGCGTCGCAGTCGGGAGCCGATCGCCGATCTATCCGCGATGCGTCGTCGAGTCCGGGACGATGTTTCCTCCCCCGAGCTGGTTCCTCCCCCTGACGCCGAGTCGGGCACGTCCCTCTGCGGGGGGATGGCAGGGAAGGAGAGCGGGGGAGGATGGTGCGAAGGAGGGAGGGGGAACGAGGAGGAAGCAGGAGGCGAAGGAGGAGGAGGAGGAGGGAGGAAGAGGACGAGGAGGAGGAGGAGGAGGAGGGAGGAGGCGGCGAAGGGGGGTGGATTGAGGGGAGGGAGGAGGGAGCAGGAGGAGGCGGATCGAGCCAGTGCATGGGGCGGGGGCGCGAAGGATGGCGCCTCCTCCTCCTCCTCCTCCTCCTCCTCCTCCTCCTCCTCTCCTCCTCCTCCTCCCCCTCCTCCTCCCCCTCCTCCTCCTCCTCCTCCTCCCCCTCCTCCCCCTCCTCCCCCTCCTCCTCCTCCTCCTCCTCCTCCTCCTCCTCCTCCTCCTGGGGGCGAGAGCGGGGAGGCCGAGGGTGCAGACACGGTCGGGGCGGGTGTGCGAAAAGGCGGCGGCAGCGCAGCAGGCCGCGCGACCGGCGGGCGCCGCCTGCGAGAGACGGGGGGGGGGCGGGCCCTGCCCGAGCAGAGGCCCGCCCCTGGGGCGGCCCCCGCGGGCCCGAGGATCGAGCGCCGCAGGAAGGGCGCCTCCCGCGGCAGGAGGCGCCTCCTCGAGCCCTGCGGCTCGCGGCTCGAGGGGAAGAGGGCCCCCCCGGCCGCCCCCCCCGGGGGGCGAGGGGGGCCCTCCCCGGGCGAGGGGGAGGCGACGAGGGCGCGGCCGCTCTCGAGACCACGGCGGGTGGGGAGGGGCAAGGGGCGCCGGGAAGTCGCAGCACTCGTGGGCGGGCGGCGGGGGCGGGGGGCCGCGGGGGCGGTGGGGGCGGCGGCGCCAGGGAGGAGGAGGAGGAGGAGGAGGAGGCGGAGGAGGAGGATAAGGAGGAGGAGGGGGCAGCCAGGAGAGCGGAGAGATGAGGCAGGATGGGGGGCGAGGTGCGAGGTACTATCACAAGGGAGGAAGGGGCGGGGGGGACGAGGAGGAGTCGGAAGCGGGAGTGGAGAAGAAGGGATACGGGAGGAGGAGGAGGAGGAGGAGGAAGAGGAGGAGGAGGAGGAGGAGGAGGAGGAGGAGGAGGAGGAGGGCGGCGGAGCAGGAGGATGTGCCCGGCATCGTTGCACCACCAGGCTGAGGCACTGGCCGCAGCAACAGGGCGCCGAGCAGCAGCAGCAGGAGGAGCAGGAAGTCTTTCCTGGAGGTGGGCAGGAGGAGTAGGGATGAGCTGGAGCGGAGAGGGGGACCAGAGCAAGCCCAGGATGCATCGCCGATGTTGCAGCACACCCTCCCGTCCCATGTCCCCTCCTCTAAATTTCAGGAGGAAAAGAAACACACAGACACAATTCATCCTCCATTCCCCTGAAAATATGGGAACATATGGGAAGTGGTGGGGAAGACAACAACCGAGAAAATAAAAGGGAATCCTTTTATTTGTGTGTATTTTTTTGTGTGTCCCAGGGCCCCTTCAAAATTATGCACATGTATAGCTGCCCACCGCCAGGAGTGTCCCCCCCCTGAGGATGACGAGCGTCCAGTGGGCCTGCCATGCCACCCTCCATCTTACTAGCCAAGGGAGGCGCAAAGAGGCAGGATGACAAAGTCCAAGGGGGAGGACCGGGGAGGAGGAGGAGGAGGGGGAGGAGGAGGAGGAGGAGGAGGAGGAGGAGGAGGAGGAGGAGGAGGAGGAGGAGGAGGGGGAGAAGGAGGAAGAGGAGGAGGAGGAGGACCAAAGTAAACGATGCATCAACGAGGAGGAGTCCAAGCGATTGTCCTGTTTCGAATAGGGTCAGCCCTGATCCGTCTAAGGGTTGCACAGTAGTGGCCGCACGATTTGCCAAAGTCCAGAGCGAGCGGCCCATTCTGAAAATGTGTAGTTTTCCATCCGTGTGCGTGTCCCAGAAGTGTGCAGGTCGGGACGTAGGGTGTGGAGAAGCGTTGAGCGAGAGCCCTATTCGGAGATTCCAACGGACTCCATCTTGGTCGATGTGAGTTTGTTTTGAACCCACGTTTTGAATACCAACCCCTGCATCCGCGTAACCGGTAAGTTGTTTACGCCGAATTTGCGCGGCGCTGAGGCGAGAGGCGCAGGCTGAAAACGAGCTGACCTGCATCCTCGTAATCGCCCGAAGCTCGTGCATCGAATTTGCGCGGCGCTGAGGCGAGAAGCGCAGGTTGAAAACGAGCTGACCTCCATCCTCGTAATCCCCCAGAGCTGTGCTTCGAATTTTCGCGGCGCCGGGGCGAGAATGTCATGTTGGATGGAGACCACCGTTGCGCTCAGCTGTTGGAGCTGCTGGTCAGTTTTAGATGATGAGGGCATCTCAGTGGACACGGCCGTCCTGGCCTCTGCGGACACGCCTGGTTGTGCGATCTCTTATGTTTATGAAAGAGGGATCTGTTCACGTGTATGGAGGGAGTGGCCCAGGATGACGTGCCCAGCGGTCGTTGAGAGTGGGTATTTCGGGGCTCCCGGCTGCCAATCTGCTCTAGGCGCCTTCCTACTTCAGGGGTTGAGTGCCTCCACCGTTTCCGTCCTCTTCAGCGGGGGCCGGCGGACACCCAAGCTCTACTCGACGCCTTCCTACTTCGTGGTTCTGCCAGCTTCTTCCGACCGATGGGTACGTATATGGAAGAGGGGTCTAGGATGACGTACACCTCCAGGAACAGTGTTGCAACTTGTGCCAGTCGTGTCGAAGAATTGTCTGGGAGCTTCCCTGTGGGTAGTTCTTCATCCCGGGGGTGTTTCCGACGCTCTGTGGCCCGAAAGCGGCCTTGGAAAAGCGGCAGGCGACGAAAACGAACACATCGACCATTAAGGTTGCATTATTTTTCCAGGCCCGTGTAGGAGGAGGAGGATGAGGAGGAGGAGGAGGAGGAGGAGGAGGAGGGGAGGAGGGGAGGAGGGGAGGAGGGGAGGAGGAGGAGGAGGAGGAGCGGGAGACGGGTCGGGGCGGGTCCGCTCTCGGCTGCCCCTCGCGAGCGCGCGCGCGCCTCGTCCAGCGGCGCCGCCATGGGCCAGTCCTGCAGCCTCTGCGACTCGGACAAGCAGGTGGTGGTGGTCGTCGTCGCCGTCCTGGTCGTCGTCGTTGTCGTCGAGGATCGAAGTTCGAGGCTTCTGCCCAGGGGTTCGTCGTCGTCTTTCGTCGTCGTCGGTGTTCTCGTCGTCGTCGTCATTGTTCTTCGGGGTGGTGGTTGTGGTGGTGGTTGTGGTGGTGGTGGTTGTGGTGGTGGTGGTTGTGGTGGTGGTGGTGGTAGTGGCTGTCGTCGTCGTTATCGTCGTGATTGCCGTCGTCGTTGCTGTCCTTCAAGGAACAAACCATGACATGAACATCAGCATCAGGTTTCGAGGGCCCGCGTGGATTTCTTGGATCTGCACTTCTGGCTCCAGAGGGCCCCTGGCGCGCTCCGCGCGCCAGAGAGTGGGGTCCAGCGCCGATCCAAGACGTCAGCGCGGACCTCCGCAGCCACGTGCATGCCAATGTTTTGTTCCGCGAGTTCTGGTCGTCGAGGGTCGAGGGTCAAAGTTCGAGGTTTCCGCCGAGTGGCTCGTCTGGATCCTGTCCCACTCGGGGGCCCCCAGACGGTGTGGTGACCGCACCGTGCGGTGAGTCGCTGGGGATTCGGGGTCACCGCACGGTTTTGGGACTCGAGTCGTCCTCCGAGGACGTCTCGGACGACAGGGGCCTCCAGGGTCCTAAGACCGTGCGTTGACGGACCGTGCGGTGAGGTCTTGAGGGATTTCGAGGTCACCGCACGGTGTGTCACCGCACCCTTTCGGGACTCCAAACCACCTGATCGGGCGAAGGGAACCATGCACATTCACCGATCTTGGCCAGGCCCATCTTGGCCCCGGGATCGGTGCAGATGCATTCCTGGCCAAGGCAGGAGGTTGGGCCTGGCCAGAATGGGTGTATGTGCATAGTTTTAAGTCGGGCCTGTCCTTCTACAGGGGAGGAATATCCAAAAATAGTCAAACAAATAATCAGGTGGTGATGTTTCTATCATTTCCCAACCATCCTGTTCGTGTTGGGTCCTCGTTTTGAAGAGACGGTGGCCCGCGTCTCCCCTCCTCTCCTCCTCCCCCTCCCCCTCCTCCCTCCTCCCCCTCTTCCTTGCGTTTCACCCACCCAGTACAGCGTTTCGTGGCCCCATAGGGAGCTCCACCGAAGGCCCCCAGTGGCTGCGTTCGCATGGCGGCCTCGGGCCATTTCGGCACACCTCTCACGAGGATCGTGGCCCCATAGGGAGCTCCACCGAAGGCCCCAGTGGCTGCGTTCGCATGGCGGCCTCGGGCCATTTCGGCACACCCCTCTCGAGGATCGTGGCCCCATAGGGAGCTCCACCGAAGGCCCCCAGTGGCTGCGTTCGCATGGCGGCCTCGGGCCATTTCGGCACACCCCTCACGAGGATCGTGGCCCCATAGGGAGCTCCACCGAAGGCCCCAGTGGCTGCGTTCGCATGGCGGCCTCGGGCCATTTCGGCACACCCCTCACGAGGATCTCCACCGTGGATTTCGGCAGAGGATCGTGGCCCCATCCACCGAAGGCCCCAGGTCTCGGGCCATTTCGGCACACTCCTCACGAGGATCGTGGCCCCATAGACACGTTTCGTGGCCCCATAGGGAGCTCCACCGAAGGTTCCAGTGGGTGTGCCCGCATGCGTCCCGCACACACATTTCGGCACACCTCTCACACGTTTCGTGGCCCCATAGGGAGCTCCGCCGAAGGTCTCCAGTGGGTGTGCCCGCATGCGTCCCACACACCCATTTCGGCCCACCCCTCACACGTTTCGTGGCCCCATAGGGAGCTCCACCGAAGGTCCCAGTGGGTGTGCCCGCATGCGTCCCGCACACCCATGTCGGCACACCTCTCACACGTTTCGTGGCCCCATACGGGGCTCCACCGAAGGTCCCAGTGGGTGTGCCCGCATGCGTCCCGCACACCCATTTCGGTAAACTCTTCACACGTTTCGTGGCCCCATACGGAGCTCCACCGAAGGTCCCAGTGGGTGTGCCGTCGCGCGCTGCCGTCGGGGTTCCCGCGGAAGCTGCCTGCGGCGGCCACGCCCAATGTCACGAGTGGCCGGACAGGCATGCCCGAACCATTCACATTCATATACATTTATATTAGGCGTAGCCATGATCGCATCCACGAAAATATACTCACTCTCACGCAGACTCATTCACACTCAGGCTCAGTCACGCTCTGACTCACCCGCTTTCAGTCTCTCGTAATTCGACCTGCTGTATTCCTTTGCGTTGTGTGCCCCGCCGCAGTTCGGCACACCTCTCATACGGTTCGTGGCCCCATAGGGAGCGCCACCGAATAAGATATTTTCAAGTGCGGTACTCGCAACTGCATATGGTTGGGTCCTTCGCCAGGCTAATCTTGGTTATTTTGGGTCAGTGTTTCACTACTTTTTATTGTTCGTCCGAAATCCACCTGTAGGAGGACATGCCCGACCTAAGCATAGTTCTATTTGAGCGCCTTCCTACTTCGACGATCGAGTGGCTTCACCTTTTCCGCCCTCCTTAGAGGGCGGACGGAAACCGATCTAATTTCAACGCCTTCCTACCTCGTGCTTCTACCTACTTCTTCCGACCGATGGGTAGCACTCGCCGCCGCCTCCGGCAAAGTCAGGGGGAGCCTAGCTCCGAGCTGAGCAAGGCCCGCTTGCCGCGGCGCCAGCGCGCCACCGGAGGCACCTCTCGTCGTCTGCTCACGCGCCGTGCCCACCACCAACCGGAGCGGAACAGATCGGGGAGTCCAGGCCGTTCTTTTGGGTTAGAGCACGGCGCGAGTTGAATTGGTTTTCCCGACCATCCTGTGGTGTTGGGTCCTCGTTTTGAAGAAACGGTCCCCGCGTTCCTTTTCTCCTCTTTTCCTCTCCTCCCCCTCCCCTCCCTCCTCCTTCTTCCATGCGCTTCACCCACCCAGCACAGCGTTTCGTGGCCGCACCGCCCGCATGCCTCCGCCACCACCCAGCACAGTCCTTGCTCCCTGCGTTTCACCCACCCAGTACAGCGCTTCGTGGCCCCATACGGAGCTCCACGGAAGGTCCCAGTGGCACCGCCCGCATGCGTCCGCCGCCTCTCAGCACAGCCCTTGTTCCCTGCGTTCCACCCACCCAGTACAACCTTTCGTGGCCCCATAAGGGGGCTCCACCGAAGGTCCCAGTGGCACCGCCCGCATGCGTCCGCCGCCACCCAGCACAGCCCTTGCTCCCTGCGTTTCACCCACCCAGTACAGCGCTCCGTGGCCCCATAAGGAGCTCCACCGAAGGTCCCAGTGGCAACGCCCGCATGCGTCCGCCACCACCCAGCACAGCCCTTGCTCCCTGCGTTTCACCCACCCAGTATAAGGTTTCGTTGCCCAATAAAGGGGGCTCCACCAAAGGTCCCAATGGCACCGCCCGCATGCGTCCGCCATCACCCAGCACAGCTTTTGTTCCTTGCGTTTCACCTACCCAGTACAACGTTTCGTGGCCCCATAGGGAGCTCCACCGAAGTTCCCAGTGGCACCGCCCGCATGCGTCCGCCACCACCCAGCACAGCCCTTGTTCCTTGCGTTTCACCCACCCGGTACACGTTTTCGTTGCCCCATAAAAGGGGGCTCCACCGAAGGTTCCGGTGGCACCGCCCGCATGCGTCCGCCGTCACCCAGCACAGCCCTTGTTCCCTGCGTTTTGTCTACCCAGTACAGCGCTTCGTGGCCCCATAGGGAGCTCCACCGAAGGTCCCAGTGGCAACGCCCGCAGGCGTCCGCCACCACCCAGCACAGCCCTTGCTCCCTGCGTTTCGCCCACCCAATACAACGCTTCGTGGCCCCATAGGGGACTCCACCGAAGGTCCCAATGGCACCGCCCGCATGCGTCCGCCATCACCCAGCACAGCCCTTGTTCCCTGCGTTTCGCCCACCTAGTACAACGTTTCGTGGCCCCATAAGGGGGCTCCACCAAAGGTCCCACTGGCACCGCCCGCATGCGTCCGCCACCACCCAGCACAGCCCTTGCTCCCTGCGTTTCGCCCACCCAATACAACGCTTCGTGGCCCTATATGGGGGCTCCACAGAAGGTCCCAGTGGCACCGCCCGCATGCGTCCGCCACCGCCCAGCACAGCCCTTGCTCCCTGCGTTTCACCCACCCAATACAGCGCTTCGTGGCCCCATAAGGGGTTCCACCGAAGGTCCCACAGGCACCGCCCGCATGCGTCCGCCACCACCCAACCCAGCCATTGCTCCTTGCGTCCAGTACAGCGCTTCGTGGCCCCATAGGGGGCTCCACCGAAGGTCCCAGTGGCACCGCCCGCAAGGGCCTGCCACCACCCAGCACGGCCCTCGTTCCGTGCGTTTCGCCCACCCAGTACAGGGCGTCGTGGCCCCATAGGGAGCGCCACCGAAGACGATATTCACAACTGCGGTACCCACAACTGCATATTGTTGGGTCTTTCGGCAGGCCAGTTTTTAGCGATTCCGTGGACCGGTCTCGTGCTGTTCCCGTTTATGCAGCAAGAAAGCGAGTGGAGACGAAATCGGCACGAACACCGAAAGTATTGGTAGTAAGTCATGGGAGAATTCTATGCCTTCGGATTTCCGTTTTTATTGTGTACTAGCGCGAGTTAGCGTTTGATAGTCAATGAGAAAGCGCTGAATAGGCGTCGATTAACGTCGATTTAGCGTCGACTAGCATCGGTCATCGCCGATCGGCGTCGACCTTCGTCGACTAGCGTCGATTCGCAAAAGCGAACGAGATGGTACGGGAGGCTCACGTGAATTGCCGCGGAACTGTAGTAGCTGGCGCCCTCGTGCAGGCTGCTCGCTTTGATTAAAGTTCACGCCCTTTCATCCCCCAGCGCCCGCACCCGAACCCGCTCCCCCAGCACCCGCCCGCCCGCGCGCAAGAAGCTCCCCGGTTTCCATGATTGGCGTCTGCTATCACAGTCCTGAGCGTTTGCGGAGTTCGAGCGAGATAAAAACAGGTGCATAAACAACAACTGTCGGCGCTCCGTGCGGATGTCTTAGATCTCAGCTGGGCACCCCCCTGGGCGCGCG